GAGTCTTTTGCCTACAGGCAGGTCATGTTCGAAGATGGGCTTTATCGGTCCACGTTTAGGCATAGCTCCCATATAAGGGTACCCCCCCCCCAATTTTCGGTATTTTGAGGTTCCTGAGGTTCAACTGAATTCGCTGAAATTTGGTACATTGAGTTCTTATTGAGTAGCAAATCTCTCCACTAAAAGTTATAAATTTGGGTCCATATTTCCAGATAGCCCCCATATAAGGGTATCCCAAATTTTGCGGTATTTTGGGGGTTTGATCGCATTTTTCGACCGAATTCGCGGAAATTCGGTACTTTGAGTTCTTATTGGGTGGTAACTCTCTATACTAAAAATTATAAATATAGGTCAATTTTTTCGGGTAGCCCCCATATAAGGGTACCCCCAAATTTTCTGTATTTTACAGTTCTTGAGCACGATTTGCAACCAAATTCGCTGAAATTTGGTACATTGGGTTATTATTGGGTACCAAATTTCCCCACTAAAATTTATAAATATAGGTCCACTTTTTCCGATAGCCCCCATATAAGGGTACCTCCCAATTTCCAGTTTTTGGGGGGTTTTGACCGGATTTTTTCACCGAATTGACTTTAATTTAGTAATTTGAGTTCTTATTGGATATCAAATCTCTCCACAAAAAATTATTTTCGGCTACCCCCAAGTGTAAGGGTACCCCCAATTTTCGATATTTTGAGGTTTTCAACCGAATTCGCTGGAATTTGTTATTTTGTAGTCGTATATGGTAACAAACGTATATGGTATTCATCCCTTTTTAGGGGTAGTCCCCATATAAACCCCATTTTATACCCTTCACCAAGCTGTGGTACAGGGTATTATGTCTTAATGCTTATGTTTGTAACAGGCAAAAGGAAACGAGATAGACACATGGTTCCTTTTCAGAATATGCATAAAATCACTTTCTGAGTCGATTTATGCATGTCCGTCCGTCTGTCTGTCCATGTTAAATTGTAAACAAAGTACAGATCGCATTTATGATCCAAATTGGATTAAATTTGGCACAGGTCACTTATTTGGCCCAAGGACGAACCCTATTGAAATTGGGAAAAAATCGGTTCAGAATTAGATATAGCTCCCATATATAGTTTCGTCCGATTTATTGTAAACGGTCCCTATATATCCTTCGATTTGCACGAAATTTGGCACAGAGTACTGAATTAGGTCTAGAATGATGTGTGTTAAGTTTCCTGAAAATCGGTCAAGATTTAGATATAGCCGGTCAATATATATATATATATATATATATATATATTCGTCCGATTTTATGTAAATGGTGTACCAAAGTCCCTATATATCTTACGATATGCACGAAATTTGGCATAGTGTACTGAACTAGGTCAGTAATGATGTGTGTTAAGTTTCCTGAAAATCGGTTCAGATTTAGATATAGCTCCCATATGTATTTTCGTCCGATTTAAGGTAAATGGTATACCAAAGTCCCTCTGTATCTTTCGATTTGCCCGAAATTTGGCATAGTGTACTGAATTAGGACAGTAAAGATGTGTGTTAAGTTTCTTGAAAATCGATTCATATTTAGATATAGCTCCCATATATAGTTTCGTCCGATTTAATGTAAACGGTCCCTATATATCATTCGATTTGCACGAAATTTGGCACATCGTACTGAATAAAGTCTAGAATGATGTGTGTTAAATTTCGTGAAAATCGGTTGAGATTTAGATATAGTTCCCATATATATTTTCGTCCGATTTAAGGTAAATGGTACACCAACGTCCCTATATATCTTTCGATTTTCACGAAATTTGGAATAGTGTACTGAATTAGGTCAGTAATGATGTGTGTTAAGTTTCTTGAAAATCAGTTCAGATTTAGATATAGCTCCCATATATATTTTTGTCCGATTTAAAGTAAATGGTACACCAATGTCCCTATATATCTTTCGATTTGCACGAAATTTGGCATAGTGTACTGAATTAAGTCTAGAATGATGTGTGCTAAAATTAAGTTTATCAGATATTTCTTCAAATAATCAGAGGTTGTCCGATTCATATTTGCTTTAAATTGATTTACATAATATTATCCCATTGTAAGAAGCAACTCTATATCTAACCAAATGTTTGCAGAATGACATGTTTATGGATCCAATTTCATGTTACTGGTCCTTCAAAAATGCGACGTCTGTTAGGATTCTTCTGTTGAATATACCCAAAGTGGTGAAGGGTATCATATAGTCGGCTCCGTCCGACTTTACTACTTTTCTTACTGGTTTGTATTAAAATAGTTATCTGATTTGTTCCGTGTGTTGCGGTTGGGTAGTCGTTACGGGGAATAGTCAATTTTTAACCTACAAAGACTATTTAGCCATCTGTTGTAAACATTCCGCCTTCTAAAGAAATTGTGATAAAAAAACTCAAACATGACGATAATGAAATATATCGGCAGACATTTAGGTATCTCCTCAATATAGTAATACCTTCTGAAGGAAAGAATTGAGATAAACAATTAAAATATTGTGTTCAAAATTGGCATATACCGGTCATTAATTAGTCATAGCCCTTATATAATGATATCCCCAAATCTCACCTCATTGAGTTCTAGCCCCTGTGTGGAGGTTCCAGACCGACATTCCCCATCTTCGAATTTGAACTATGTTTGGAAGAATTAATAGGATGGGCAAAGTTTGGATGAAATCTGAAACGGATTTGGTCCAAAGAAACATGGGGTCTAGAGCCAATATTTCGATGAGGCACATTTCCACCATGTTAAAGTGTATACCCCCTCATTAGCCATAAGGCTGAGGGTATAATTATCCATTAAAAAATTCTGGTATTTATACCCTACACAACTATGTTGTCAGGATATTATAGCTTTGTGCAGCCGCAAGAGTTTGTATCGCCGCGAAATATTGCTCCTAGACCCACCTTTAAGTATACCAATCGTCATATCTCGACTAGCTGAGTTGATCTAGACATGTGTGTCCGTCCGTCTGTCCATTATAATTTGTAAACACGATACAGGCCACAGTTATGGGCCAATCTTCACGAAATTTTGCATGTAGGAAGGGTTCGGCCCAATGAAGACCCCTATTGTTTTTGGTAAAGATCGGTTACTATTTAGGGGATGAAATGGACCAAATAATTAAATTTTGTCGGTTTTTCAAGTCTCTCCAGAGGCTGCAATTATGACCCAAACATCGCGAATTTTTACATAGAGAAGGGGATCGTGCCAAAGAATAAGCATGCCTGTTTTGATAAGGATCGGTCAATATTTAGCGGGTCAAATGGACCCTGACTTTTGTGTGAAAAATGACAAAATTTGTATTCTATAGCGTATATATTTACTATATTTACGTAAATATTTACGTATTCAGATATTATTTAATAAACGTATTCAGATGCTATTTAATAAACCATTACCCCACTAGAGGGCGGATATATAGCGCTGATCGCTTTGAAATGTTCCATGAGGTTCCAGTTATGGTCAAGTACAACGCCTATAATTTTCGGTGATGATCAGATAATAATTTTGGGATGAAGTGGACCGAAAACTTATTTTTTTTTTTTTTTTTTCCGATTCGATCTATAGGCTACAACTATAAGCCGAACATCACAACACAAACCAAGGTCAAGGGAATATGTACTAGTAATTAGAAGGGCTATAGTGAATATTGGTAATATATGTCCGTGTAAGGAAGAGGTGCTGTTGACCTCTAATCGGGCAAGAGGGTGCAACTGTGGTAGTAGTGTAGGGTATCGTGTCGGTCCGGCCGAACTTACTTGTTTATATTCTGCTTTTACTTTGGCACAAATGACGAGCTACAAATCGAAAAAAAACATAAAAACCCCGTGTTTGCCTATTATAGGCAAAAAAATTCGATATATTCCCATGGTTCCTTTTGATAATATGTATAGAATCACTTTCCCATATATAGCTTCGTCCGATTTTATGTAAATGGAGCACCATACTGCCATTATCGATCCGATTGAGAAAACATTTTGCACAGAGTACTGAATTAGGTCCATTTTGATGCATGCGAAGTTTCGTTGAAATCGGTTCAGATTTAGATGTAGCTCCCACATATAGATTTCTCCGATTTTATGTAAATGGTGCACCATACTGCCAATATTTGTCCGATTGAGACAGAATTCGTTCTTAAATGTCTATCCTTATTGGAGTGTCTCTAACTGTAATGTAAGTCCTTGTATGAAACTTTTCACCACTGATTTGCATACAGCCCTTTAACATAAACTAAGTAACCGATTTAATTTAAAATTTTAAGGTATTTGAATATTCCATATTATATAACTTCTGTATTGAGCTAATGCTATGGACTTTTTGACCTTTCCTCGTAAAATAATATTTTCAGTATCACTTTTAATTAATTATTACCAAGAGTTACAAATAATATTTTAAACCACAACTAATAAACAATGTTACAAAAAAACATGCGTAGTCGTGGTGTATGGTATTAAAACAAAACACACACATACATTCAAAAAAAAAAAAAACAACAAATAATTTCAACAATTATGACCAATTATAAAATGCCGTCTGTTAAGGACACACCGAAATAAAAAGGTATTGCCAAAACAACAACAACAAAATATAAAAGCCAAAAATATGTTAAATTAATAATAATAACGAATATACAAAATAAATACATACAAACATACATATGTAATTGTAACGATGTAACTATGGTTATTAAACAATTTTAGTTATTTTATTCGAATGTATACAACAATTATAAATACAAATAATTTACAAAAAAAAACCCAATTAGGATTAAATCAAAAACAATAAAACACGAAAATCAAGAACAAAAAACAACACAAAAGAAATGCCAACTAAATACCAATAAAATTTTGAAACAAGAAAATAAAAAAGAACACAATTGATTAATCCATTGTTGTGATTTTTATTTAACAGAAATTTACATAATCTTCATTATACATACAGACAAATAAAATATTGTTATTTTTTATTATTATTTATACATTCATGCAAACTGCATAATCGCCTAATAATTTATTCCAATTTAAAATTATTTTTCAATGCCTGCCAACATTCATAATATTTGGCATCCAATTTTTGACATGTCTCTTCACCCCATTTGGTTACGGCCATGCTCAAGGACGATTCGAACATGAAGGCCTACACAAGATAAGAATTTAAAATTAAAATAATAAACAAATTCAAAACCAGTAAGGAAAGTAGTAAAGTCGGACGGGGCCGACTATATGATACCCTTCACCACTATGGGTATATTAAACAGGACTATTACAGGACTATTCGTGCAAATCGAAAGATATATAGAGACTTGGGTGAACCATATACATGAAATCGGACGAAACTATATATGGGAGCTATATAGAAATCTGGACCGGTTTTCTCGAAACTTGGGAGACATTCATTCTAGACTCAATTCAGTACGTTATGCCAAATTTCTTGCAAATAGAAAGATATTTAGCGACTTTGGTGCACCATTTACATGAAATCGGACGAAACTATATATGGGAGCTATATCTAAATCTGGACCGATTTTCACGAAAAAAGGCAGACATCGCTCTAGGCTCAATTGAGTACGTTATGCCAAATTTCGTGCAAATCGAAAGATATATTGCGACTTTGGTGCACCATGTACATGAAATTGGACGAAACTATATATGGGAGCTATATCTAAATCTGGACCGATTTTCTCGAAACTTGGCAGACATCATTCTAGGCTCAATTCAGTACGTTATGCCAAATTTCGTGCAAATCGAAAGATATATAGCGACTTTGGTGCATCATTTACATGAAATCGGACGAAACTATATATGGGAGCTATATAGAAATCTGGACCGATTTTCTTGAAACTTGGCAGACATCTTTCTAGGCTCAATTCAGTACGTTATGCCAAATTTCGTGCAAATCGAAAGATATATAGCGACTTTGGTGTACCATTTACATGAAATCGGACGAAACTATATATGGGAGCTATATCTAAATCTGGACCGATTTTCACGAAACTTGGCACACATCATTCTAGACCTAAATGATTAGGCTGTACCAAATTTCGTGCAAATCGAAAGATATATAGGGACCGTTTACATTAAATCGGTTAAATATATATATGGGAGCTATATCTAAATCTGAACCGATTTTTCCCAATTTCAATAGGGTTCGTCCTTGGGCCAAATAAGTGACCTGTGCCAAATTTCATTCAAATCGGATCATAAATGCGACCTGTACTTTGTTTACAATTTAACATCTACAGACGGACGGACAGACGGACAGACGGACGGACGGACGGACGGACATGCATAAATCGACTCAGAAAGTGATTCTATGCATATTCTCAAAAGGAACCATGTGTCTATCTCGTTTCCTTTTGCCTGTTACAAACATATGCACAAAGACATAATACCCTGTACCACAGAGTGGTGAAGGGTATATTGGCAGACATCTTTCTAGGCTCAATTCAGTACGTTATGCCAAATTTCGTGCAAATCGAAAGATATATAGGGACTTTGGTGCACCATTTACATGAAATCGGACGAAACTATATATGGGAGCTATATCTAAATCTTGACCGATTTTCACGAAACTTGGCAGACATCATTGTAGACTCAATTCAGTACGTTATGCAAAATTTCGTGCAAATCGAAAGATATATAGCGACTTTGGTGCACCATGTACATGAAATTGGACGAAACTATATATGGGAGCTATATCTAAATCTGGACCGATTTTCTCGAAACTTGGCAGACATCATTCTAGGCTCAATTCAGTACGTTATGCCAAATTTCGTGCAAATCGAAAGATATATAGCGACTTTGGTGCATCATTTACATGAAATCGGACGAAACTATATATGGGAGCTATATATAGGCTCAATTCAGTACGTTATGCCAAATTTCGTGCAAATCGAAAGATATATAGCGACTTTGGTGTACCATTTACATGAAATCGGACGAAACTATATATGGGAGCTATATCTAAATCTGGACCGATTTTCACGAAACTTGGCACACATCATTCTAGACCTAAATGATTAGGCTGTACCAAATTTCGTGCAAATCGAAAGATATATAGGGACCGTTTACATTAAATCGGTTAAATATATATATGGGAGCTATATCTAAATCTGAACCGATTTTTCCCAATTTCAATAGGGTTCGTCCTTGGGCCAAATAAGTGACCTGTGCCAAATTTCATTCAAATCGGATCATAAATGCGACCTGTACTTTGTTTACAATTTAACATCTACAGACGGACGGACAGACGGACAGACGGACGGACGGACGGACGGACATGCATAAATCGACTCAGAAAGTGATTCTATGCATATTCTCAAAAGGAACCATGTGTCTATCTCGTTTCCTTTTGCCTGTTACAAACATATGCACAAAGACATAATACCCTGTACCACAGAGTGGTGAAGGGTATAATTATTTGCAAACATCTTACTTGGGTTCCTTCGGCCACACGTTCAGGTGCCAATTTGGCATTTGAGGCTCCCTCAAAGCATTTGGCATCGGGACCATGTGGAGTCATCATCGAGTGCAAGGTGGCACCGCCAGGCATAAAACCTTCCTCCTTGGCTTCATAGCGGCCCAAAATCAAACCCATAAATTCACTCATGCAATTGCCTGGAAAAGGGGAAGGGAGGTTACAAATTAAAATTTCAACGAGAAAAAACGCTATCCCACTAAAGGTAAGTAAACCCCCTGGTTCTTATTTTTCCGAATACTTACGATGATAATATGGTGGCCGGAATGTATGCTCCTGCACCGACCACCTGGGAGGGAATATAACAAAATCAGCAATAGCTGTGCCATATTTCGAACTGGGGCAGGTCAAAACTGTGAAAATGCTAGGATCACAGTGGTCAAAGCTAACGGAATTAATTACATTGAATTTGGACAGATCATATTTGTAGGGCACATAGTTGCCATGCCAGGCCACAACATCGAAACAGGAATGCTGCTGTTTGGCCACAAATAAGTGGCCTTGGAATTTGGATACAACAGAGAAATCTGCAAAATATCGAATGTTAGTCCCGCAATTTTTTTTAAGGTCTCCAAAGAACCTACCTTTAACCTGGCGATCTTCGAACCAGGCCACAGGGGTTTGGAAATCTCTAGGATTGGCCAAGCCATTGGCGCCGATTGGGCCCAAATCCGGCAAATGGAAATGATTGTCATATACCTCCAATATGTAACCTCTGGAAAAATAGAAAAAAGAATATTTGATAAGGATCGAGGGAACATGGATTTTTTAAGGTCCATCAGAGGTGTGGATTTTTTAAAGAAGATTTTTTCAAGGTCCATCAGAGGCGTGGATTTTTTAAAGAAGATTTTTTCAAGGTCCATCAGAGGCGTGGATTTTTTAAAGAAGATTTTTTCAAGGTCCATCAGAGGCGTGGATTTTTTAATTAAGATTTTTTCAAGGTCCATCAGAGGCGTGGATTTTTTAATTAAGATTTTTTCAAGGTCCATCAGAGGCGTGGATTTTTTAATTAAGATTTTTTCAAGGTCCATCAGAGGCGTGGATTTTTTAATTAAGATTTTTTCAAGGTCCATCAGAGGCGTGGATTTTTTAATTAAGATTTTTTCAAGGTCCATCAGAGGCGTGGATTTTTTAATTAAGATTTTTTCAAGGTCCATCAGAGGCGTGGATTTTTTAATTAAGATTTTTTCAAGGGTTAAATAAAACGAAGATTTTTAAAAAAATATTTTGGAACAGGATCAGGATTTTCAAGGGTTAAATAAGGCTTGGATTTTTAAAAAAATATTTTGGAACAGGATCAGGATTTTCAAGGGTTAAATAAGGCGTGGATTTTTAAAAAAATATTTTGGAATAGGATCAGGATTTTCAAGGGTTAAATAAGGCGTAGATTTTTCATAGAATATTTTGGAACAGGGTCAGGATTTTCAAGGGTTAAATAGGGCGTGGATTTTTTATAGAATATTTTGAAGCAGGATCAGGATTTTCAAGGGTTAAATAAGGCGTGGATTTTTTATAGAATATTTTGGAACAGGGTCAGGATTTCTTAGAGAACGTTATTCAAGGTGCACATAGTCTTTATTTAAAGGTCACGCCCCATTTTAGACATACTGATGGTCTGAAGCCGAAATATCTGTAATTTGGCAATCCGGGTTCCTGATGGGTAAAAAGGCCTACGCAGAAAATTTCCAATGTCAAGAATCGATGGTTGACATAGCTTCCATACAAAGACCCCACCCCATATTATGTATTTTGACTCTTCTAGGAGCATTTTTCGTTATGGCTCTTATTTGGCATTCCAGGCCCTCATATAAAGGTCACGCCCAAAATTAGGTGTATTCACGGGCCTTATTGTTTTTTTTTTTTTTTTATCCGAATAGGCTTCAATTGGACAAGATCAATGGGAATAAAATCTCAAAATTACCTCCATAGAGCCACATATTTGGTGTTTTGAAAGTAAAACCTCAGTGTATGTAATTTGTTATTTCATCATTTCGGAGAAGAGAAATCCACTTGGCGGACCACTAAAATTTAGGTCCCAGCCGTTTTTGGGACTTGTAAAATACTGTTTTTATTTCTGTAATACTTACCTTGTGGTTCCCGAAACATTCACAGCATAGCGAATACCTTGTGGTATTACACAGATTTCATTGGGCGCCACTTTCATTTTACCAAATTCGGTGGTAATATCCAAAACACCTTCCTGGGGAACTATAAATACAATTTGTATTCATTTAGAATTTTCTGACAGAACTACTACATTATCATCATCTACCCACCAATTAAAAAGTCACCATCACTATTGTAAAATGCCATATTCTCCATGGACACATTGCACATGTAAACATGTACGGCCAGACCATGGCGACTGCGGGCATCACCAGCACCACACACTGTGTGTAGACCTTGAACAAAGTTCACTTTTTCATTTGGTGCGGGCATATCGAATGGCTTCCAGCGCATCTAAATTGATTAGAAGAAAACATTTTTTTAATTTTTTAATTAAAAAATAATAAGTTCTGCCATAGCAACTAGTAAATTACCTGATTGGGATTGGGTTTCTGTTCATCCCAGTTGTGTGTTAAATATTTGCCACCTTCCTTTTCGTATGACTGGAATGGTAAATGTTTTGCACTGGGATTGATACGATAGAACCATGTACGAGCATTTTCTTTACGTGGTGCTGTAAACGCAGTACCCGACAGTTGTTCGGCATACAATCCGTAGGGACATTTTTGTGGTGTATTTTGTCCTTCGGGCAAGGCATTTGGACAACGTGGATCTTCCGAAGAAAAATGAGAACCAAAGCCGCACATGTACTGAAAAAAATATTGAGAATATTTAATTTGTTTTGAATACGTTTATACCTTGATGCTGTTAAACGTATTTCATAAAAAAGAAGTAAGTATGGCACCCAAAAATGTTATAAATGATTTACACAAGGCACACAGATAGAAAATAAATAGCAAATTGAACAACACGTATTTATTTTCTATGACTAAAAACTTTATTTTAATCGGCTATATGAAAACATGGACCTATATCGAAATTTTGTTTGCAACCATTTTTCTCATTCTCTATGACACCGGAATGTCAAATTACTGTCACTCCGGTTAAAAGCATCACTACGATCTTCAAAAAAATCCCCGAATCAAAACATAGTCGTACTGTCCTCGTCCTCCAAGAAACTAAATGACAAATTACAGCAACTACGGTGGGGAATGCGACGGGTCGCACTTATCATATGGGAGCTATATTATTTCGTACCCCGTTATACCCCATTTACAGTACCAATTCTGTTTGTGAACAATTTCAAAACTCTTTTATAAATCTTGAGATCATATTCATTAAGTTCCATCGGTGATATAAACCCAAATTAAAACCAGTAAGAAACCGACAATTTCAGACGTACTTTCGATGCCCTAGGTATACCTACAGTTAATTGCAATTAAGTTTCCACACCCACATGGAACTATACTACTGCGAGTGTAGCTGAAACCACGGATGGGATCAAAAAACGGACTGGATCTACCTCTGTTAGAAATATATAGGTTTATTTGCAATGACGCTAAACATTATATGCATAAATGTGGACCCATAGACTCATTGTCCTACAGGTTTCAAATGTCTGTCTGGCTGATGCGTACGATATCTTTTGAAGAGAGTAACCGATTTCAACCAAAATTTGTATAACGGAATAAGCTTTCCATGCTTAAAACAAGTTCGAAGATGGTAAATATCGGTCCACTCCTTCTAGTACCTCTCCCACTAAATTTTCAAAATTTCACTGAAAATTGATTACATACTATCATGTGAACGAACCAAGCTATTAGTTTTACCAAGCTTAGATCAAGTCCGAAAGTGAGACCCATCGGTCCACTCCTTCTGGTATATCACTCTCAAATAGTCAACATTTTGAATATTTATAGATCTAATATTAGATGAATTGAATATCCGATTTGATCCAAACTGTACATATCGTAATATTCTTTCAAACTCAAATGAATTTCGAAGATGGGACCCATCGTATCTCTCCTCTTGGAACCCCCCACAAAAAATGGTAAACATTTTGGTGAAACTAAATTTCGCTCAACAGAATATTTTAACCATGCCTCTATAATGTTGGAAAATATGACACATCGGTCCACTCCTTCTAGTACATACCCACAAAGGGTCAACATTTTTATGAAGCGAACAGATTATCCTAGTTCATCGAAACTTTGCATATCGTAATATTTTTACAATACACAGATCAAGTCCGAAGATGGTACTCATAGGTCCACCTCTTCTGATAACTTCCCACAAAGTTTCAACATTTTATTTTTCGGAATGCCCCTTTTAATCCGAACTTTGCAAATCGTAATACTGATTTCCAAACCAAACTGAATTTCGATGATGCGAACCATCGATCCACTCGTTCTGGTACCTACCAGACGAACATTTTATCAAAATTTTAAAAACGTGTACATTTAATTTGAAGCGAATTGAATAACTGATTTGATCCATTGTTTGCATATCGTCCGACGGACATGCATAAACCGACTCAGAAAGTGATTCGATGCATATTCTCAAATGGAGCCATGTGTCTGTCTCGCTTCCTTTTACCTGTTACAAACATATGCACAAAGAATTTTTATTTTTATACCCACATATTGGTCCTATTGGTGAGTCGATGTAGACACATTTATCCGTCCGTCCGTCTGTGCATTATAATTTTTAAACACGATACAGGTCACAGTTATGGACCAATCATCACGAAATTTTGCATGTTCCGGCCAAAGAAACTCCCTATTGTTTTTGGTAATGATCGATTATATTAACCGGTCAAATAATCCAACATTTAGCAATATTTGGCCAGATTGTTTAAAACTGCATTGGATGCTATGTATTCTGACGGCCACAAAATCATCATTTGAGTAGACAACAAACCCCCTGGAGGCCATGCAAACAGTAGAATGCTCCCACTATCAATGAAGTCGCAGTGGTGATTGCTGACGAGAATGCGGAATCGCACGATTTTCACAGTCTGTTTTTAACACTTAATAATAAGCGGTGCTGTTCTTTTATAAAAAAAAACTATCCTCGGAGTACTTCTACTTTTTAACTGGTTATGGGTCTTAATCCGTAACCATTGCGAAGAAATATTGTACCAAATAGAAAGAAAATCGAAATTGCCAGCTTTAATGGACGAATTCCATTGTTCAATGGGTCAAATTATGCTACATGGAAAACGCAAATGCAAGCAGTTCTTCAAAAGGCAAGAAGAAACAGGCCGATTGTTCCACATTTACCAGAACCCGCAACAATTGCGTAAAGAAGTGAACACCGAAAGAAATTGGATGAACAGATAGCCTATGATGAATTGGCGCTTGATGCTCGTTCTGAAATTATTATTTCGCTGGAATCAAATATAGTAAGAATGGTAAGAAATTTTAAAACTGCTCGGGAAATTTGGACATATTTTCAAGAAACATACGACAGAAAGTCAAGCAGACGTAAAACCGAAATGTTTCGAAAGTTGTTTAATTTGAAAATGTCCCCTGTTCAAAGTCTGTTCGAGTATCTCATTGAATATGACATATGTGTTTCGAGTCTGTTGGAAATGAATGTTAAAATTGATGAAAGTTTTATGTCTATAATTTTGCTGGATGGTTTTTCGGAAGAGTTGAAAGAAATTCGTGGTGATTTTGATACTGCGAATGAGTTTCCATCGCTCAATGTGTTAATGTCCCGATTACTAGAAGTTGGATGTGAAAATAGTGATGAAGATGCCGAAAATGCAATAGTGATGAAGATGCCGAAAATGCAATGAGGGCGCAGAACTTCAATTCAAAATAGAAGAAAAATTTTACATCTGATTCAGGTATGCCAGACAAACGATTTCCATTTAATTGTCATAAATGTGGTAAAAAAGGCCATAAAGCGAAAGATTGCAGAGTTAAACTTAATGAATCCAATCATTCTACAAAAACGGTTTGTGAAAAAAGTAGCTCTAGCCGATGATACTAGCATCAAGGTAGAAGGAATTAGAACAATACAACTAAATATATTGGTTGAAAACCAAATGAAGTCCATAAAATTGCAAAACACGTTGTTTGTTTGTTCCATTATTTGGAGGAAATTTAATTTCAATGTTAATTTCAATAGGCTATGATGTGTTAATTAAAAATGATAAATCTTATGTACCTAAAATAATAAAATATACATGGAAGCAATAAGGGAGAATGGATTGTATATGATGACGGCGGTACCAAATAACACGAAATGTAAGAAAACTGCAGAATCAAACACCCCATGTGAAATTTGGCATAAACGTGTTGGTCACCTGAATTACAATGATTTGATTAAATTATACACGGAGGATATGGTGCACGGATTGCCTAAAATTCCCTCTTCAGATGCAAATTGCAATGTGTGCATCACAGCTAAACAAACACGGTCTCCTTTTCCAAAGAAAAACAGCAAATCGGAAAATGAAATATTGGGCTTGATTCATACGAATCTTTATGGGCCTATGCGAAATCCATCTTCGAAAATGTGGAATTAAACGCCAACTAACTGTTGAATACACTCCCCAACAAAATTGTGTTACGGTGAGAATGAATAGAACTCTGGTGGATGTTTTATGCTGGAGGCCAATTTACCGGAAAATTTATGGGGTGAGCCAAATTTGAAGCAAGTAGTGAGCAAAAATTAAGTAATATTAAATAATTTATTATTTTTCTCCAGGGGTACCAAGACTTATGCTGTGCAAAAATTTGGACTTGGCACTATTTCGATTTGTTATGTTTTATTTTAATAAAAAATTAAATATTACTTTAATTTGTTGTAGTTGAATACATGAAATAAAAGTATATATTTGAAATTTTGTGAATTTCTTTTTGAGGAATTGCTGAATATTTTTTGATTTGTATGGGGTACCATGACGTTTGCTGCTCACGGTATTTTGAAGTCAGTTTTATATTTTAAATCAAAAATTCCGATGAAATGGTGTTACTGATTCAATGCACTAATTTTATTTTTTGGCAATTTATTGGGACAATATTTTATATCGATCGATCGATGTTTGTAACATATGTTTGTTTGTAACATAACTAAACTATATTTTCTAGATATTTCCACACACGTGTCAATTTTGTTAATTAAATTTCTTTTATTCAATGTCACCTACAATTTTCGAATTTCAATATAAAATCATTTTTATGTTTTATTGCTCATTTACTATTCCGTTCTTTTTTTCACGGCACATAAAATATATTTTTCTTGTTTTGTCCAATATGCCACATTCATAATTATGATTAGATTCACAACACTTTATTTTGGCGCCCAACTTTGTCAAATGCACTGCACATTTGTTCACTCAAATGACAGACATGCATTTTCACAGGATATTTTTGTGTGCAGTTGCAGAGTATTTTACCTTATATTCACTCATTTTTTTGTCAACGTTTCACGTTAATCGTAGCCTCGATCAAAAAACCCAGCGAATTCCGCTAAAAAACGTATCAACGTACCGACCAGAGTATTGAGAAAAAACTTCAAATCATTCTGGACCAAGCTCTTTATATAGATTTGTCTATGCCATGATCTGCTGCTGCTGTTGTTGTTTGTTTACGAAAAACTCTTCGGCTAAATGATATGCACGGTTATCTGGACAAACCTGTCCCAAAAATAAAAAATAAAATAATAATAAAAATAAAACTTTCTTGTATTTAATGTGCATATTACACTCGAAGAAAAATGTTCATTGCAAAGCGATAGTCACCTATTTGATTTTCTATGTTAAAAGATATCAAATGTGAGTCTTTAATGAAGATCTGAAGTCAAGTCTTTATAGAAGAATTGAATGAAGGACGTCTTTGAGGAAGTGCTGAAATTCGAGACTTTGTAGATGAAATAAAAGACGGGAAAGGTTGAGCCTTTATAGACAAACTGAAGCAGTGTAAGTATTTACATACAAGCTGAAGATCAGGGATTATTTATAATCTAGCTGAGAAGCAGGAATTATTTGTATACCTTATGTAGATGATCTGAGGCACAGGGCTGAAGGGCAGAGGGACATTACAGAAAATGGAAAGACTGAAAGTTTGTATAGAAGAGTGAAATTCAAAGATTAGCTACCGGCAGAGGTCTTAATTGATAATCCCAATCGATCCTAGATTTCTAGCCCCTACATTTTTATACCTTCCAATCGAAATGGTCGAATTTATAGTTAGCCACCCTAATTATTCCCGAAGCTTGGAAAATGAAAAGGTTCATCCCGCTATTGAAGCCAGACACGAATGCCAAAAAAGGTGAAACTTACAGGTCGATTTCAGTTCTGTTACCAATAGCTAAGACACTTGCGGATTTGGTGATTCCAAGCATTTGAGAATTCTACCAAGTTGCTGATTATCAACACGGTTTCGGTAGTTTATAATGACCCTTAGAGTGAAACAGAGTGATGCCCCAAGGTGGCGTAATTTTTCCCGAACTGTTTGCCTCTATGAGGGTGACGTAGGTGATGATAGATACCAATCAACGGCTCTGATTGGCTTCAACATGGCGAAGCCCAGGCTTATCTTGTTCCCCCTTTCATCTCAATTGTGGACACTGACCTCAACGCGGTGTCACCTGGGGTAACTACTTTCATCATCCGTTGAAATAGTGAGCTGATATGTGCCGCGAGTTCACCCATAAGAACTACACAAAAATGGGTTTAATCGTCGGGTTAGTTACCCACACTCGGAAACGCCACCCTACCATAAAAAAGCAAAAAGAATCAAATTGATCATGTTGTGATAGACGAAAGACATTAGTCCAATGTTTTAGACGTTCGATCGATACGAGGAGCGAATATCAATTCGGACCATTACCTTGTGACAGCCAAGGTTCGCATCCGTCTTAATGTAGCAGCAAAGGTGCGTCGAAAAGCTGCAAACGCAATAGATAGCAGAAGTATACTACGCTCAACTTATCCACTTGCTTGGCGAAAGCACTCCTTGTACCGATAATAATATAGAAGCACAATGGCAACGAATTGGCCACTCCCTACAAACTGCAGCAAAAGCAATACTTGGGTACCAAAAACCACCATCATCCACCATACGATAAGGAGTGTCATAATAATGCTACTGAGGCGAAAAACGCAGCGTAATGTGATGGAGAATTATCGGAAGAAAAGGAGAGAGGAGAAACGTGTTTTCAGAAAAAAGAAGAAAGGACAAGAAAAACGTTAGCGTGCGGAAATCGAGATTATAGGAGTCAGAATGAAGTCCGAAAACTTTACCAACGAGTAAAACACCAAACCGACGGCTTTGGTGCAGGCACATCCTCCTGTAGAGATGAAGATGGAAACCTGGTGACAAATAAGGATAGCGTGTTGAGGATCTGAAGGGAGCATTTTACAAAGCTTCTTGTATCAAATAGTGGTGGGGAAAAATATACCCCTGAACCTATAAGAGATCACGATATAGATTGTATACCACCTAACCAAGATGGAGTCATAGTAGCAATTAATCGGATGAAGAACAATAAAGCAGCAGGTTCCGATGGGTTACAAGCCGAACTATTAAAGACCGGTGGTCAGATGCTGATCAGGAGCATGTACCATCTGATTAGTACAAAGGAACCTCAGCTCCCGGGCACAAAAAAGGAGACAAGACGTTATGTTCCAACTATAGACGGATTTGTACCCTTTCCATTGGCATATAAAGTGCTATCCAGCGTACTCTGTGAACGACTGAAGCCAATGGTCAATGTCATTATTGGACCATACCAATTCGGCTTCAGGCTTGGTAAATTTCAGATTTTCACTCTGCGCCAGATCCTGGAAAAGTCCCACGATAAACACATCGAAACTTTCCACCTATTCGTCGACTATAAAGCTGCATTCGACAGCCCTATTCGTTCTGAGTTATTTGTAGACATGTTTGCGTTCGGCATTCCTGCAAAATTAATACGGTTATGCAGGATAACTGGCACAAGGTCAGCAGTTCAAGCCGGAAAGAACCTCTCGGAGCTTTTCAATACCGAACGAGTATTCAGACAAGGTGACAGTTTATCGTGTGATCTTGTTAACATCCTGCTGGAAAAGGTTATACGAGACGCAAAGGTGAACAGAAATGGCACTCTGTCCACCAAACAACACGTGTTACTTGCCTACGCCGATGACATCGATATAATGGGTCGAACATTGCGAGCGGTAACAGCCACCTTTGAACAAATTGAAAAGGAATCTGCCAAAGTGGGTCTGGCAGTAAACGGCGAGAAGACCTAGCTGATGGTATCAACGCGCAACACCTCCAGTAGACTCGGGCCAACTGTGGAACTTGAGAATTACAACTATGAGGTAGTCAAAGATTTTATATACCGCCGTAAGCAAAACTAATAACATCAGTTTTGGCCAACAGATGCTACTATGGTCTGAGTAAGCAACTCGTAAGCAGGCCACCTAACGCCAGACCAAACTACCACTCTACAAGACGCTGATACTACCCGTGCTATTATATGGATCTGAAGCATGGGTACCTACGCAAGCAGATGAGGCAGCTCTTGGAGTGTTTGAGAGAAAAATTCTCCGGAAGATCGATGGTTAATATCGGCGTCGAATGAACCATCTATTTTCGGACATCGACATAGTCAGACCGATCGAGCAGCAGCGACTACGTTGGTTAGGCCATCTTGTGAGAATGGATGCAGATGCCCCAGCTCAAAAGGCATATAAAAGCGAGCAAAGTGATAGTTTACGCAGAAGGGGAAGCCACGAATCCTATGGAAAGATCAAGTGGGATAAAACATCTCGAAACCGGGTATTTTTAATTGAATGAGCTGCGCAAAAGACCGACCGAGCCGAGCTTAAAAAAATTTCCAAACTCGTCGGTTCTGTCGCAAGCCAGCTAAGAAAGTAAGTTTATCACTATGAAAATATCCACTAAGTATATGGCCATGAGTAGCGGGGATGAGCCTACTTTTGAAAGTAAAGTCTAATGGCCCGTAATTCCAATCATATTCGATACTCTCTCTACAAGTCGTCCTCACACGCCTCACATGTGAAAAAGTCGGAAGTCAGAATGTGATAAAGGGAAGGCCACGAATCCGATTGAATGATCAAGTGGAACAGGATCTTTCAAAGCGTATGAGCTGCGCAAAAGACCGACGCGCCTGGAAATCTTTTTTGAGCCGAGCTTAAAAATACTTCCAGGCTCGTCGCTTCTGTCTTAAACCATGGTTTATACTTAGCTGCAGCTAAGTATGGAAGTTTACCTCTATGAAAATATCCACTACGTATTTGTGGAAAGTAAAATCGAATGTCCCATAATTCCCACCACTAACTACGTCAAGGTTCTATGGGTCATATTCGATACTCTCTCTCTCTCTACAAGTCGTCCTCACACGCCACAAGTATATGTGATAAGGTCAGAAGCAGCTGATGATTTGGAAGCTGTTAAAAAACCCTTGTTGACAACCAACAAAATGATAGCCCACCTGGAAAACCTGGCAAGAGAAAAACCTTTAATCCTGTTAACTCCCGCAGACCACTTACATGAGGAGACGAAAAAATTTCCTGTGCGCCACAACAATATATTATAGTTTTAATATCTGCCTGGAACCTACAGCATTGTAACACCTGTCCGACATGTGGTAATGGTCCACATAACACACTGCACCTCTGAAATTGCTCAGTCCATCACCATCATTAAAGTGGAGCTAATCGCGTTCAATTTAAATGCGTATTTGTCTACATTTAATAAGTTATCTTGCTTTTGTTGATACTGTATCGTAAAACCAAGTACGTATCTTTTTCCCAGATTATTATTTTTATCTTAAAATTTAAACATTTTTTTATGTCGGAATATGCAATTTTCGACATTAAATTTCTCCATTCTATTTTTTTCAAAAACGACCCATTCATTCTGCCTCTCTCTCTTAAAATTATATTTTCCACCATTTTTTCTTCGAGTGTAACACCTGTTATTTTGATCTAGAATAGTACCTACTACCATTAACTATCTCATTTGAATACCAAATATTAGCTACAGCGACAGTAATACCGGCAAACAACCAGCCAACCAACCGAACTAACTATGGGAGACAACAGATGCCAATGGATTTTTGAGAGCTAATAAACACGATAATATCCAGCTACTATAAAATAGTTTTTTTTTTATCATATTCTTCTTCTTCATCATCGTTTTCTGATGCATATTCAACGAGTCTTATTTATACCCCACCCTCTCGAACTACTACAGCCAGCATCGTCGCAACAAACATTTCCAACTCGAAAACAACAACAATTCGAATTGAATTAATAAACCGGCGGCAGGCCTCTTTCAGAATGGAAATTGAATTAATAATAAAACTGGACCTGCTCGATGGATGTATGGATGTGTGACCGAATAACTGGATGGATGCAGGCAGCCAGCAAAGAATTCAGAGGAATAATAAAATAAAAAAAACAGCAGA